CTGCTTACTTCGCTCTGTTTGCACAATATCGTGGAAGGGGACATTTCACAAATGAACGCCAAGCTGCTGTCCGTGTCCTTGCAACACTTCACTGGAACGGTAAAGCTCGAGGCTTCACTTGGAATACCTTCATCAGTCGCCTTATTGGAGCCTTCAACGACCTCGAGTTGAACGGTGATCCACGCTCTGATGCAAATAAGGTTGACGTACTTCTCGAGAAAACTGTTGGAGATTCTTCCCTTTCCAATGGAAGATCACACATTACAGGAGATGCCGTTCTCCGATCCAATTTCCAAGGTGCCATCAATTATTTAACAACACAAGTCTTAGCTGCCGGTAACGACAACACCCAGCGCCGCAATCGACAACTTGCTGCCTTTACTTGTGGTGGTGGCGGACGCGGTGGTGATGGTAGAAGTGGAGGTCGTGGCCGAGGAAATGGTGCCACAAATCGCCTGCAATCGAATGTACCAGATCGCTTTAGCTGCAATGGGATACTACTAAATGATGGAGGTTATTCAAATCAAATCTGGAGAGAGGAGTTTACACAAGAAGAAAGAAAGATTTGCTTAGAAATGCGTCGCAACCGTCGCAATGGTGGTGGTCGTGGCGGAAGAGGCCGTGAAGGCCGTGGTGGTCGTGGTAGAGGTCGTGGTATCAGCGCTGTCCATGATGGACGAGCTGATCAGGAAGAAACAAAAGAAGATAACAACGATGGGCGTGGGGCAGGTGCAGGAATGAGTCGTCGCCGTCGCAACAATCGTGACGATGATTGACTAGGAACCTCATCTGTTGGATCCCTCACAAGCATTCGTCCAAACTCTCGTATGGTATCAGTGCTATCATCCACAAACACCCTTACCAACCGATGTGAACTGGACTCGCACGCAGATACATGCGCTTTTGACCCTGCTGGATGTTGCGTCCTTTCAACGTCCTCTCAGTCAATAAATGTCACCGGTTTCCACAATGGTTTGAAAATAAACGATGTTCGAATTGGGAATGTCTGTCTTGCCTATGACTGTCCCTTTGACCATTGAACCTACTGTCTGCATTTCTGTGAAGTTCTTTTGATCCCTGGTCTAGGATCGCATCTACTCTGTGTCGATCAACTGCGCGCCAACTTTGTGGTAAATGACGTGCCGTTAATCCGATTACGGCCTGAACAACGAAACAGAGAAGCTCATGCTATTTTAACATCGGGTCTAAGGATCCCATTACTATTCGACAAGCCAATTTCCTATTTTACATGTC